TCATAGCCGATCGTTTATCTTACTCTCCTCACTAGAGACCAATGAAGTCATTAGTCACTGCAGTACTTAGTCCATTTACAGCTTTTAGCATAAAAACAAAACAAAACAAACCTGAAGATGTGGCATATTGGTTAAAGCCCAGGGCTGGAAGTCAGATGAATGCCAGTTCGATCTCCACAGGGAATGAGCCGTCAGTCGTCACCATTGTGAAAAACACCCCATCTCATGTTGCTCCAGTGGGATTCCCTCCTATAATAAATGCTGTGACACTTGCTTTGGACCAACGTGCCAGCTAAATGACCTTGTATGTGTGAAACTTGTAATTGACTGTGCTTGATTCTTGCTTTAGGTTCCAAAGCACTTAATTCTAGCACATTCATCCTGCTCATCCACTTTCATTTCCTCTCCAGATCCACTTTGGATAAAGTCTTCTCTCAGATAGATTTCACATATTTAATGACCAGAGGAAAGTGCTTGGGTGACGGCCTGCAATTTTGTGGTGCTGTATGAAGATGTGGTGCAGTCAATCAGCACAAACAAATCCTCAGCAAATGCCTGATGTCAGCAAACTGTAGGAAGATGTTTAGAAATGTAAGAGTCAAATGTTGCTCAGAAGATGTTATTTCATAGGAGTTCTCAGTTTTGTTTATATACATTATCAACTTTGTGTCTGATTTGTCTCCCGAAATTCCATTAGGGAAATAAAAATCAATTAGTCTCTCTTTGGAAACTCTTTTCTCAAGAAAAAACATCTGAGAAGCAGGAGATGTGGCCAAAATTCCTATTTGCTCCCAATTAATATCAGTTTTCCTTTATGCATTTGCCAGATTCTTTTATCCAAAGCAACTTACATTGCATTGAAGACATTTTATCAGGTGACGTATTCCCAGGAATTTCAGTTCTGTTTAAGAGACTTATTTATTTATTTATTTGTCTTCGTCTAGCTCAAACAGTAGAGCATACTGTAAAAATATCCAGAAAATAGTACACGATGTACTGTTTTATTATAAAGGAATTTTATGTATTGATTATTGTCATATTTTTACAGGTGTTTTAACTTCATTGTTTTGTGTTTTACACAGTGTTGGGGAAAGTTACTTTTAATGCATTACAATATTGCATTACTCCCCAAAAAAGTAACTAATTACGTTACTCAGTTGCTTTTTATGGAAAGTAATGCGTTATGTTACTTTTGCATTACTTTTTAAATCTGAGCTGGGCTTGCTTGTATGTTTTTTATATTTAAAAAAAGTTCTATTTTTAGCTGTTAGTCAATAAATGGCATTACTGGCATTACTTATTTGAAAAAGTAACTCAAATATTTTCTTGTAAATTAAAAGTAATGCATTACTTTACTAGTTACTTGTAAAAAAGTAATCTGATTACGTAGCTCACGTTGCTTGTAATGCATTACCCCCAAAACTGGTTTTACAGGTAACGGAAATGTCCTTAAAATTGATTACATTTTAATTTAATTAATTAATTAATTTGTTTGTTTATTTATTTTTTTATTTTTTTTAAAGTGTAGCATGAATACATGAAGTGATTAAATGCATAGCTTGAATATGCTGTTACTTTGATTTCCCCCTTAGTATTCCTGTAAAATGTGCCTAAATATACAATGTTCCGTGGGTGGTACAGTGGAATGCAAACAGGTTAAAAGAGTATTTTAAATGTAAATGTGTTTTTTCTTTGCTGTTGGAGGACTGTTTTGTAGCCGTCTCCTTCTCCTGAAGGTTACAAGAGAACATTAGACCTATGTTCTTATCTGAACTGTATCTTTATGCATTTCTCGCTCCGGAAAGCCTCCGGGAATGGAGGGTAATCAAATTCTGGTGCATGTTCCTTTACCACAGTCCAAGGTGTTCCTGCAATCCTTTCCATGAGACCACAGTTGCCTATGGTGAAAAAACACAAGTTTGCCTGATGTGCGCCAGATGACTTAGAACTCGTGTTGAAAAAATAAGTGTTGAGCTGACAGTAAAAATATGACCAGATGAACATTTTTTGCCTGCATTTGAAACCGCCTCTCAGGGTCACGTTCTTCATAAACTGTAGTTTATGTCCTGCAAGCACAAGTCTCATGGAAGCAACACTGTGAAAAAATTGCAAAGCTATAAAGAATGTGGAAAAACAGACACAATTGAAGATCTTGGTGTGGGCTGTATATGTTAATTTCTTTCATTTGATGTAAGATGTTTATATATATATATATATATATTTATTTATATATAAATAAAAGAAAGGTATTCAACAGGGATATCATATGGTTATTTCTTCCTCAGAGTGGAGATGAAGATGAAGACCGGCCACCCCTTTCAGTTGTGATGGGCAAGTATTTGTTGAGTCTTTCTGTTTAGTGCCAAATTAGGTTGGAAAAAGTCAGTACCAGGTCAAAAAGTCTTTTGTTAGATTCACTTGATTGCCTATATATATATATATATTTATTTATATATAAATAAAAGAAAGGTATTCAACAGGGATATCATATGGTTATTTCTTCCTCAGAGTGTTTAAAGGAGATGAAGACCGGCCACCCCTTTCAGTCGTGATGGGCAAGTATTTGTTGAGTCTTTCTGTTTAGTGCCAAATTAGGTTGGAAAAAGTCAGTACCAGGTCAAAAAGTCTTTTGTTAGATTCACTTGATTGCCCTCATCCAGTTATGGCCAGCTGCTGCACTCTTCAATAATTAGAGACTTGTTTTGCTTTATATATCTATTTATGGCGGTTTATGATGAATTTTTAATTTTAAACAATAAAGTCATTGAACGTCTTACCTTTAGGGTTTTAAGACAAGTTGGAAGCTATCCTTCACTATAATTGTTTTTTTTTATTTTTGTAAATAAAACAATGATTAAGTATGTTTAACAAGAATGATATTTAAGAAGATTCTTTTCAAGGATTTGAATTCTAACGTTTTGTCTTAAGAACAACTTTCAGAATTGTTGGAAAAAGTCAGTACCAGGTCAAAAAGTCTTTTGTTAGATTCACTTGATTGCCCTCATCCAGTTATGGCCAGCTGCTGCACTCTTCAATAATTAGAGACTTGTTTTGCTTTATATATCTATTTATGGCGGTTTATGATGAATTTTTAATTTTAAACAATAAAGTCATTGAACGTCTTACCTTTAGGGTTTTAAGACAAGTTGGAAGCTATCCTTCACAATAATTGTTTTTTTTTATTTTTGTAAATAAAACAATGATTAAGTATGTTTAACAAGAATGATATTTAAGAAGATTCTTTTCAAGGATTTGAATTCTAAAGTTTTGTCTTAAGAACAACTTTCAGAATTGTTTTTTTTTTTTTTTTACCTTTTTCTTAAATTAGAAAATAAGAAAATAGTGGTTAAAAAGAAGTTCTAAAGATTGTTTTGTAAATCTGGTCTCATGTCCCCATATCCCCATATCCCAGACCTGTCCAATCCTGGACTCCAATAAAATGCAAAAACATTTATTCAAAGCAAACTCTCATCCATTTGACAATATTGGACTTTATCTGCTTATAGTTGATAAGCCTTGATTCAATTCATGAAAAACTGTGAAAATGCTGTTAAAATCTGCTTTGAATATTTGACTTTACCTTGAAACAGGCCTGGACATCCTATGATGTGAAACTGAAGGACTGAGCTGTACATTATAATGAGTCATTGAAATGCTGCTAATTATTGATTTCACATTTGACACTATATTTTCAGCTGACAGGTCCAGGGCGCCCTGTTCATTCACTTGCCAAGCTTAATGTGGCTCAAAACCTAGTGTGTTGTTGCCTACCCAGAGAGCATCATTTCCGGGCATCATAGATTACTACAAAATACCATGGCTGAAATCCATGATGTCCACAACTGCTACAGCGCGCCAATGATGATTAAAAGTAGTCTGCTGCCTACCTAAAAAGCATATCTGGGAATCATCTATGTGTACGCATATAGGCTACTGCACGCGCTCATGATACTTAAAATGTTAGACGCGTCCATGACGCCCCATGCAGGCGTAGGCAGACGCGCTCACTTTGCTGTGAGACGCAGCGACTCATCATTATTTACAGTGCAGACGCGGCGGCTGTGAGTCTCTATAAATACAGCAGCGCGCGGGTCACTCCACAGTCCGCCGCGCGCTCTACGTGTTTGGTCTGTTTAATTCAGGTTTACGTGACGTTTTCTCAGACAATGAAGACCACTAATACTACTGACCACTAATATTTAGACACTTTTATTCGTACTGGAATACGTTTTTCTTCTCAGGAAAAAGTAACAAGACTCTTAGGACTAAACAGATGATGGGAGTCTGATATCGCCTTTCGGTTCTCAAGGACTGTGTCAAGGAGCGTGTGTGGTTTTTTGTTTTTTTTTGGTTAAAGATATAAGATGAAGATTTTCAGGTGAGGTGATCCAGTCTTGGATAATCTAAAAAGCGTCTCAAATGATAAATATCTCTCTTTATTTTCTTTTTCATTTTGCATTGAAATGATTTGTGTGAAATAGATTTGTGATATTTATATATATTTGATAGGTGACAGAACAAATAAAATATTAAAGTAGCAGAAAAAAAGTCAAAGAGAAAGTGTACAGTTATTCAAATTGCTGCGATTATAAATCTGAAACGTTTTAAACTGGGGAGTCTGATATCGCCTTTCGGTTCTCAAGGACTGTGTCAAGGAGCGTGTGTGGTTTTTTGTTTTTTTTTGGTTAAAGATATAAGATGAAGATTTTCAGGTGAGGTGATCCAGTCTTGGATAATCTAAAAAGCGTCTCAAATGATAAATATCTCTCTTTATTTTCTTTTTCATTTTGCATTGAAATGATTTGTGTCAAATAGATTTGTGATATTTATATATATTTGATAGGTGACAGAACAAATAAAATATTAAAGTAGCAGAAAAAAAGTCAAAGAGAAAGTGTACAGTTATTCAAATTGCTGCGATTATAAATCTGAAACGTTTTAAACTGCAATACAATGCAAATATGTTTTTATATATATATATATGCGTAGGCAGACGCGCTCACTTTGCTGGGATATCTGTGTGTGTGTGTGTGTGTGTTAATTTAGACATTTTTAGGTTTCCTGGCAAAGCGTTTTACATTTGATAAACATTACTTGTACTTTTTTGCTTTTTTATCTGTTTTTTTCTTCTTTCTAGGCTGTCTCTGTATCTCTGTACTAAACAGTTGTTTAGTTCTTCTTAATACAGTGGTGAATGGTCAGAAGTGTTGAAAATTTGTACTGCACTCTTTTTTTTTTTGCTTTCTCATGTACCCTAGAGAGGAAATTGTGCAAAAACAATGTTCCTATTCACTAAAGTTTTCTGAAAGGTGTGTCAGTGTATCATTTCAGACCTCTGGACATAAGGTCCCTCAATGAATGTTTGTGCATAAACAAGGAAAAAATACAGGAAGGAAAGTAATCACTTGCTTGTTAACTGATTAAATTGTCCCAAGTGGATGAACTTTGTGGCCAAAATAAGCAGTATTCCTATTTTTACATATTTGTTTGCAGGTTGTTTGCTAATTAAAGATTCTTAAATGCCCTGTTTTCTTAAGCGCACTTATATGCTCTTTTCTCTATAGATATGTGTCTCTAAGCTCAATGGTGCTCGTCCCATAGCCTGGAGATGTTAGCCGTCCAACACTGCAACAATTCAGCCCTGCATGTGGATGAAGGCTTCAGCAATCAGACCCAGCAGGTGCTTGGAGTGGCACCGGTGCGCTGTAGGGAAAACCTGAACACCACAACCAACCCCACGGCAGCGGGCCTGTCCATGACCCTGGGGATCGTTTCCAACATCATAGCGCTGATCATCCTGGCTAAAGCGTATGCTCGCCTGCGGAAGCGCTCGAAAGCCACGTTCCTCCTGTTCGCCAGTTCTCTGGTGGCTACGGACCTTGCTGGTCATGTTATTCCAGGTGCTCTGGTTCTGCGGCTCTACATTTCTGGGACCGCCGGAGGACTTTGTAACCAATCCGACGCCACCTGCCATTTCCTGGGCGGCAGCATGGTGTTCTTCGGCCTGTGCCCGCTGTTTCTCGGATGCGTCATGGCGGCGGAGCGATGCATGGGTGTGACACGGCCCCTCCTGCATGCCCGTATGGTTTGCACGGCCCACACCAAGATAGTGCTGGTGATGATATGGCTGTTGGCTTTATCTGTAGCACTGTTGCCCTTCTTTCACCTGGGCACATACATCTACCAGTTCCCAGGGACCTGGTGCTTCATTAATGTGTTGGACAATACCAGCATCACAGACGTGATATTTGTGCTGCTGTTTTCCGGACTGGGACTGGCCGCACTGGCCGTGGCATTGGTCTGCAACACCATCAGCGGGGTGACGCTGGTGATCGCCCGTCTGCGCAAGAAGAAGTGCCACCGAAGATCAGCTAAATCACATGACATTGAGATGGTGGCACAGCTGGTGGGCATTATGGTCACTTCTTGCATCTGCTGGAGCCCTCTGCTGGTGAGTATGACCATTACAACCTAACCATTTAACTTCATATAAGGGTCATATGACCTTGCTAAAAATAACATTATGTTGTGTATTTGGTGTAATGCAATGTGTTTATGCGGTTTAAGGTTAAAAAAACACATTATTTTCCACATAATGTACATTATTGTTGCTCTGCTTTGTCCCGCCTTTCTGAAACGCATCGATTTTTACAAAGGTCATCGGTCTGAAAAGCGAGGTGTACGCTGATTGGCCAGCTATCCAGTGCGTTGTGATTGGCCAAATACCTCAAGCGTGTGACGGAAATGTTACGCCCCTTAACATACTATGATGCCCTGTGTCCCGGCGTGACAAGACAAAAACAATCAAACCCATTACAAACGAGGCATTTGTTGCATCCAGTGGGGACATAATTACTGATTATAATGACTTATACTGTCTTTTTATGCGTTGCATTGCGTATCGCGCTGCGTAAACATAAAACCATTTCTGGAGAAACGACAAACAACAAGTGCTACTCTAAACTGCTCAAAACTCGCGTTTGAATCGTCAGTGGCAAATTCTTTAAATATAAAAAACGTACTTACAGGCTGTGAGTCAGAAGCGCCAGACTGTCCTTGCAAAGTTGGAACTGCCCCACTTTATAGAAACAGACACCGGCACTGTAGGCTACTCTCCCAGGAAACATTCCTCATCCTCCGCAAAATGTGCTGCACACATCTGGATATTTGGGTTGAACTGTTCTGGAACAGTGTTATAAATACAACTTAACCACTGATTTCTAGTTGTGTCCTCTTTTGGAAGGCCAAACAAAGTAGTTTCGCTTTCACAACGAAACATACAGCGTCACACATGGCGGGCTAGAATGAGCGGAGGCCGGTTTGAGTGAGCGGAGGCCGGTGGGCTTGAGAATGGCAGCAGCCGGCGGGCTTGCGGCAACCACATGTGACGACCCCGGACTGGACTCCGCTTTGTCAACGGTGAAAGCCGATCCGGCGATCCACAGCGCGAAGTTGATGTATTTCCTCAGCAACCAGCACCGATCAGCTCCAGGCATGACGAAGCAGATATCGTCCTCTTTTGGAAGGCCAAACAAAGTAGTTTCACTTTCACAACGAAACACACAGCGTCTTCACGACATGGCGGCAGCGGCAACAATACTACAGTGAGAATAAAAGTTACACCTTCTTTCTTTGCGTGAACATTTGGGCGGCGTTATGCAAATCTTCCCACATCGTAACGTAGACATGTGGGGGTGTGTTAGAACGAGCTGTTTTAGGTAGGCGTGGTTGACTCTTAACTTTTGTAAAGAATATCCCTTTGGATTTGAGACTTTAGTCTTTGCAACTTTACAGATCTTCTTTATGCACCAAGAGCTTGTAACACTCCAAAGAGAAAGGAACAATTGAAATCGCATCATATGACCCCTTTAACCGTTATTTTTAACTTAACCGCTATTGCGCCATTGACCATGACTGTCTACCTGTCTGTCTATTAAGGACCGATCAAAAAAAAAAGCATTACAATAAGCTTGAAGTACCTCACATGCAAACAAATAATAATCATAAGATTGAAGGATCCAAGCATATAATTGTAATAAAAGAATATACGATTAGTATGCATATCAAAACATTTTGAAAATACAGTTTATATTAGATATATTTATATTAATATTAGAAGTCAAGTGACAAAGTATACTTTTAAAAAAAATACAGAATTCTTTGATAAAAATTTCTATGAACAGACATAAGATCTAATTGTATACACATCTGAATTATAAAATAAAACAATTTTATTATTTTAAAGACTTTTTAAGTTTGTCTGTGTAGGAATACCATTGAAAGACAAATCACAAATGAGATCTATGTACTGTCATAATTGTTTCGCAATAAGATTAAATAGAAAACAAACTTTCCTTCTCAGATTTTTGAGGGGAAAAAAACTATTAATTCCACATATTTCCCCCACAATATGTCAGCTGTCTCAAACTGTGTGTAGATTTGCCAAAAGTCAAAGAATGTCAATATGAACATATCTTCAAAGAACAAATTCTGTGAGCAGATTTTTTAAAAAATCTATAAAAATTACATGATTCTTGACACACTTTAAAAGTTTGGTTCCCATACTAAAAGCCATGCTTTTTTTTTTTTTTTTATATTTACGTATCTCTTCGGGGGTCAAAACAGACCTGAATTGTGAGGATGAATCACAACCGAGGATTTATTTTATCTCACGAGCTATGAATGAGCAACCTCTGATCAATGCAGTTTTCCTCTAGGCTGTTTGATCTGGGTTCTGACTAATCCTTACTATTCTTTTGCTGTTATACCATGACTTTATTTTGCTTCATCCACTGACTACAACTAACTTTCTCTGTTTTCCTGACAGATCTTCGGTCTGATGTCTGTCATCCGCTCGTACAGCGGCTCTATGGGGGATGATTTGGAAACCTACAGGACTTTAATGGTAATGGGAGTCCGTCTGGCCACCTGGAATCAGATTCTGGACCCCTGGGTCTATATCCTTCTACGCCGGGCCGTCCTAAAAAAGATTTACCGCATAACCACCGGCCGCAGTGACCTTAAAGGGAGTACATTCCGGCGGTGGGAGATCAGCTCCTTCCAGAACTCCATGAAGAGTGTAATTAATCGGAACTGATGGAGGGATTCCAGAATATGAGTTCTACCATGTGGAAGAGACTGGGAAAAAGGAAAAAATAGGATGTTATTAACCATCCTATTTTGCAGCATTACTGAAGGCAGATGTAAGTTCCTATTGCTTGAATGGTGGATGAAGCAGCATCATACTGGAAGTTGTAATGCAAGTGATGCTCTGGAACTGCAGTGACTTCAATAGGCATTATAATTGAGCACAGTGGGGTTTTGGAAGTAAAAATCCCATTCATTTTCTCCATCAAGAAACTGACTTTAGCAACAATGAATGTTCTAGACATACCTTCCATTTTTGACATTTAATTGCCAAATTTGGGGTTTTCATTTGCAAATTTCTGTTTCCATGCAACAAATATATGTATAAAAAATATGTATTTGAATAACTTTATATTCTGGAACCGAGGCTGCTGAAAAAGTTGGAAGTCACTGTTGCACTGTAGAGTGAGTCTGATAAATGACAATGTGAAATGGACTGCAAACATGCCCTCTGCGTGTCACCTCAATTATTATTATTATATTTTAAAAAAAATAAAACCCTTAGTTTCCATGTAAACTACAAGAAAAAGGACTCTGAGGACAAGAGGAGTCACAGGAGCAAAGAAAATAAATGTTGTTTGGGTCTGGGATTTAATAAGCTAGTTTGCAGTTGTTCAGGATTAACATGCACCTTCTCTTTTGGTGATTCATTATAGGATTCATTGTAAAGTGATGCTTATAGTGAATTCATCAAAATGTCTTTGAACATGAAGCTTTGTTTGGCTTCAGAGCTATTGCTCAGGAATCTGTATAGTCCACATACAGTATTACATACAGTCTATAAAAGTCAAATAATGAAGAAATAGTGTAAATATCACTGCAACCTAAAGGCAGAACTTTTACATGTGCATGACAGTTTCAGTGTTCTAGTATCTGTATATTTGTGTCTTGCCCTGTTATTTGTGATCTTGAAAAGCTATGGAATATTATTTTGACCAATAAAGGTTCACTTCTGGAAGAATCTCTCTTTTTATCTCGATGTCATGATGTTGCATTTCCTACTACTAGGCCTATCTTTCTTTTCAAAACCGGCACTCTGAGGAAAAAAATACAAACTGTCACTGGTGTAGTAAGTTACAAGGTACAAGGTATCTACCCCTAAATTGTACATATTAATAACTGATATGTACATAGTAGGCTAAATATTAGTTCCTAAAGTGTAAATATTAGTACCTAAAGTGGCCATATTGGTACATTTTAAAAGGAACTGCCTCAATTACAATTTTACAGTTTTTCTGAGTGTGAAAAGCAGTTTGGTAAGTAAAGCAATCATTTCTCAAATTAGGAGGGGATCCATCTTTCTCTCATCTTGAAAAGCTATGGAATATTATTTTGACCAATAAAGGTTCACTTCTGGAAGAATCTCTCTTTTTATCTCGATGTCAGGATGTTGCATTTCCTACTACTAGGCCTATCTTTCTTTTCAAAACCGGCACTCTGAGGAAAAAAATACAAACTGTCACTGGTGTAGTAAGTTACAAGGTACAAGGTATCTACCCCTAAATTGTACATATTAATAACTAATATGTACATAGTAGGCTAAATATTAGTTCCTAAAGTGTAAATATTAGTACCTAAAGTGGCCATATTGGTACATTTTAAAAGGAACTGCCTCAATTACAATTTTACATTTTTTTCTGAGTGTGAAAAGCAGTTTGGTAAGTAAAGCAATCATTTCTCAAATTAGGAGGGGATCCATCTTTCTCTCTTTTTTTCTTTTTTGCATTGTTTTACCTTTTTAGTGACACATTCCACCAATTGCAAAATGAAACTATGTTAAATAATACAAGTAAGCATCAAAACAGCTCTCTTTATTTAGTTTTTTTTTGGGGGGGGGGCTCTTATTTCTGTAATTTGCCTAGTTCCTAGTTTTCTTTGTGTTGCATCGCCCCCAAACGACTGAGCCCGTGTCCTATCGGACAAAAAAGAATAAAAGTCATATTTAAATAGTCATCCATTTGTTTAATTTAAATACGGTGTCTTCATGTGATGCATAGAACAATTGACAGTGACACATTTTCTCAGCTGAGGCCTTCATTGCCAAGCGAAAGAAAGAAAGAAAGATGTGTTTGATCCAGCAGTCGCCAGTCTGACTCTGAATGTAAAAGCCACGCCCTCCCCATTCATTCCCGTCTGCCGCTGACACACCAGTGATCCTATTGGTCAACTGATATCACGTGTCACTGTTCCAGCTTCGCGCACGCTGATTCTCCACAGCGGCTGAACGGTGGACGGCTGCATCTTTGTCGCAGCGCTGGTGAGTGCATGATAAAAACACACATATCCTTAAATATTACGTGGTTTAAGTGTTTTAAGCTGCAGATGTATCGATTGAGTACTTTTTATCTACTCCAAAATATGTCATTTAAACACTTAAATGCAGTAGAAATGTATATATTTGTATAGCAAATGGCTATGGCTAGCGATTAGCAGCTAGCTCCTTATGCATTTCACAAAAACAGCGAGAATTGAGCATTATTTGATGGTTTTCTCTTACTTTTATGTCTGAAAGAATTAAATGAGCGTTTATTCTGTCTCGTGATGTAGTTAAATACACATTCTGACAGTTTTTTGTTGTTTTGGGGGAGGGTCGCGACCATTTTATCTCATTCGGTAATGTTATATCTGGCCGTGTCTTAAAACCAAATGCGTATCTTGGTTGGAAAGCATTTTTGGGCGTCATTCGCCAGGTTTACCTGTACAAACGTAATTTGATCATGTTAAGAACCAAATGTCGTCTTAAATGAACTTAGATGTTTGCGCAGCCCGGTGAACGGCTCTCCCCATTGTTTGGCTGCATTAAAATGGCCGCGCAGCTGTGATGTATACTGCGTTTACCTTGTTTACTTCCAACATTGTGTTACTTTAGGTACAACAGCAGCTAACTTGCGTGTTTGTTGATTTTGAAAGAGATGCATTGTTAGTATTTATGTTCTACTGAGATTTTAGTTTCTGGGACGGCTTCGTCTTGTTTGTTAAATGGGCACAAATTATATAATACAATGATATAAAGTTTCACAGTGAAAACAAAATATGATTTTAATAATTGCACATTTTTGTTCCTCCAAAATGTATTTGCGTCAATGCTGAAGTACTTATGCTACATGTTAATATTTGAGGAGAACAGTGCCACTAGAGCCAAAATGTATTATTATTTGCAAAATTATTATTATATGCATTATGTATTGCTTTTTTTATTTCTAAAATATAATACAGATATTTTCAGAATGCAGTTTTGGGACCCCCAGGGCGTTAATATTTGAGGAGAACAGTGCCACTAGAGCCAAAATGTATTATTATTTGCAAAATTATTATTATATGCATTATGTATTGCTTTTTTTTATTTCTAAAATATAATACAGATATTTTCAGAATGCAGTTTTGGGACCCCCAGGGCGTGCTAGGGGGACCTGTGAAATTTTAGAGAATAATAGTGTTAATTTTTAAATAAATATTTTTTAAAAATTGATTTAACGTAAATCATAAAAATGATTCAAGCGTGTGCAAACTGTGTAGTGTACTACAATGAATAGGCAAGTTATATAATATAACTAAATATTTTCCAAGTAATATTTTACACATTACTTTTTAATAATATAAATTGGGCCTTTAATGCATGAAATTGTTGCTTGCTTTTAATACTAAGGGTCTGTGGCATCTAAAAGGTTGAAAAACCCCTGATATAATACAATGCAGCCTGTCTGTCCTGCTTTTATTTTATTCCAGTTGAGTTTTTTTCTTCCTTTTCATTGTTCTTGCCTGGGGTTAGTACAGTTGTGATGTTTGTAGCTTTTTATAGCAGTAGTAAGGGTAAGAAGACATGCCTCACAGCTGTAGAGCAGACGTGAGACGGTTCACTTGTAAATTGTGAGATCAACAGACATTTCCTGCCAATTCTAGAATACATGCTGTGAATGAAAAACACGTTTTGCCCAGACAAAAAGGTGAGAACAGCACTGGTGAACATTAGTGCTGTGTTCAAAATATCGATACGACGATGTATCGTCACCGAGATTTGACGATACGAGTATCGATACAGCTGGCCCTGTATCGATACTGTGGCACGTGTGCAGCAGTGGACCACGCTTAATTTGTTTAAAATTTTACAACATTTAACATTGAGTAGAAAAGTGCGAGGTTTCTAAAAAAGAATGAATATAGCATCTGTTAATAATCTGGCCGCAGAGGAACACAACAGGGTTGCCTGATATAAAGAGACGTAATCCCCAAAACAGAGCTTCACACTTGCGCAATACAGAAATATCTGCTAAATGTGTTACTTATCTTTATCAACCTGGCAACCATATGCACACTCTCTCTCTCTCTCTCTCTCTCTCTCTCGCTCTCCACTGTGGATAAACGCGCTTGCTTTCTGAAAACAGTGTCTAACTTACAGTTTAGCGATCTCCACTTCAAGTCTATTCTCAGAAAAGTGTGATTCATCAACTGTTCATTTACGACAGAGAGAGAGAGAGAGAGAGGCTGTGTATGTATGAATTACCACCGTTTTGCCGCGTTTCTCTATTAACAGTAAAGCTGTGGCTTTAATTCCTTTAGAAACAATGATGCTACCAGCTCCTTGTTGAGAAAGATAATGTAGTTCTTGAGCGATTAAGCTATTTAGCTGATACAATTGTGGGGTAGCGCTAAAAAGTTTGTTCCTGAATGTCTGAGTTCGGTCGCAGCATGATCTGTGTGAGTGACTGAACTTAACACCAAACTGCTTCTGTTTCACACAAATGCTGGCACAGACGTGCATGTTCAGCTAGAGTCGCTTTGAACTCGTGCATCTTCGGAAGCGGAGCTGCACGGAAAATGTAAAAAAATGTTGTGCACACTGCCACGCGAAACAACGTCGCGCGCACTCAAAGCAAACTTGCTGACGCTCGAGTATAAATCAGCCTTGAGCGTGTGTGCGTTAGATACAGTGAAGATAGTTTAGAACCCTTCTCATTGTTTTTTTTTTTATTGTAGAGAGTGTGTTAATTTGTGCAATGATAACCTACCAGCAATGTAAATGATTTTTTAAAACCTATTAGAATGAGTACATTACAATATAAATTTATTAGAACAAGTACATTATTATTTATGGGCTTAAAAACAAGATGCAAACAATCAGAATATTGTACCTGGTGGGGAGTGCACAATGTAAACATGAAACATATGCCATTACCTATATTGTACTGTGGTACAGTAATGGAGGCCCTTCATAATGCAGAGGTCAACTGCCTGCTCTGCCAATAGTTAGAAATGGCACTATAGTAAGCAGTGTTTAATAAACAGCTGTTTTTCTCAATTCTGCTGAGTTGAAATTCAGTGCAGTCATGTATCGTATCGTGGCCTCTGTATCGTGATGCGTATCGTATCGTGACTTTGCTGGTGATACACAGCCCTAGTGAACATCTGATTTAGCACTTGCGTGGCAAGCATGGAAACAGTAGCAGGAAATTAGTTCATGTGTCATGTGTTTTAAATTTATGTCTATTTAAGATTTCAGTCTGGTAAATAAAAGGGGTTTCCAATCTAAGCGGGTTAGCGTAAAGGAGGTTTCATGTGTTCGGAGCTGCTTGTTCTGCATCTCTGAATGATATTATGGTTTGCATTTAGTGACTGTTTCCATGGAGATCCGAATATGTGATGCTCCTGTGATCTGTAAATATTTCCCATGGTGCATGTAGAAGGATTATATGAATTAGGCCTTGATTTGTGTGGAATCTGAAGCTCAATCAGAATGGCTTTACCTGGGTTTTAACTTCAAATCCTTTTTTGACAATGGTGTTCTTGTATCAGCTTCCATTTGTGCCTGCTGAATGAATAAATATAGCCATAACTATGAATTGTTCTACATTTTGGTTGACTTCATCTTTTAAACAGCTTTGAAAGAATTATGTTTTTGCTGCATTATAGGTTTTGACTGATTATTATACGTAAAACTGGTTGTTTTCTATTACAGACCAACTGGAGCAGCATTCCTCTGCCACATATAGACCAACACTGCCAAACTGAAGAACTACTTTGTAGCCGTTATGGTAAAGTATACATACATCAATGCTTCTGCAGTCTGATTTCTTCCATATAGTACTAATTAATTATATGAATATGGCAATAATTACACAGAGCAGTCACACTGATTAGGAAAAGGAGAAAGAAGTCTCTTATGCTCACCAAGGCAGCATTTATTTGATAAACAATACAGTAAGATCAGTGATTTTGTAAAATGTTACAATTGTAAATAATGTTATATATTTTAGAATGTAATTTATCGCTATGATCAAAGCTGAATTTTCAGCATCATTACTCCATTCTTCAGTGTCACATGATCCATCAGAAATCATTCTACTACGCTGATTTGCTGCTCAAGAAACATTTCTCAATATTATCAGTGTTAAACCGTTATATGCTTTTCATTTTTTCAGAATTTTTTGATGAATAGAAAGTCCAAAAGAACATTTATTTGGAATATAAATATTTTGTAATATTACAAATGTGTTTACAGTCACTTTTGATCAATTTAATGCATCCTTGTTCAACAGAAGTATTAATTTCTTAAAATAAAAGTTTTACTGACCTCAGGCTTTTGGACAGCACAACTTTTTGGTTTATCTTGTCATGTAAATTAACGTGTTTTTTTTCTCTCTCAAAGCAAACTTGCTGACGCTCGAGTATAAATCAGCCTTGAGCGTGTGTGCGTTAGATACAGTGAAGATAGTTTAGAACCCTTCTCATTGTTTTTTTTTTTATTGTAGAGAGTGTGTTAATTTGTGCAATGATAACCTACCAGCAATGTAAATGATTTTTTAAAACCTATTAGAATGAGTACATTACAATATAAATTTATTAGAACAAGTACATTATTATTTATGGGCTTAAAAACAAGATGCAAACAATCAGAATATTGTACCTGGTGGGGAGTGCACAATGTAAACATGAAACATATGCCATTACCTATATTGTACTGTGGTACAGTAATGGAGGCCCTTCATAATGCAGAGGTCAACTGCCTGCTCTGCCAATAGTTAGAAATGGCACTATAGTAAGCAGTGTTTAATAAACAGCTGTTTTTCTCAATTCTGCTGAGTTGAAATTCAGTGCAGTCATGTATCGTATCGTGGCCTCTGTATCGTGATGCGTATCGTATCGTGACTTTGCTGGTGATACACAGCCCTAGTGAACATCTGATTTAGCACTTGCGTGGCAAGCATGGAAACAGTAGCAGGAAATTAGTTCATGTGTCATGTGTTTTAAATTTATGTCTATTTAAGATTTCAGTCTGGTAAATAAAAGGGGTTTCCAATCTAAGCGGGTTAGCGTAAAGGAGGTTTCATGTGTTCGGAGCTGCTTGTTCTGCATCTCTGAATGATATTATGGTTTGCATTTAGTCACTGTTTCCATGGAGATCCGAATATGTGATGCTCCTGTGATCTGTAAATATTTCCCATGGTGCATGTAGAAGGATTATATGAATTAGGCCTTGATTTGTGTGGAATCTGAAGCTCAATCAGAATGGCTTTACCTGGGTTTTAACTTCAAATCCTTTTTTGACAATGGTGTTCTTGTATCAGCTTCCATTTGTGCCTGCTGAATGAATAAATATAGCCATAACTATGAATTGTTCTACATTTTGGTTGACTTCATCTTTTAAACAGCTTTGAAAGAATTATGTTTTTGCTGCATTATAGGTTTTGACTGATTATTATACGTAAAACTGGTTGTTTTCTATTACAGACCAACTGGAGCAGCATTCCTCTGCCACATATAGACCAACACTGCCAAACTGAAGAACTACTTTGTAGCCGTTATGGTAAAGTATACATACATCAATGCTTCTGCAGTCTGATTTCTTCCATATAGTACTAATTAATTATATGAATATGGCAATAATTACACAGAGCAGTCACACTGATTAGGAAAAGGAGAAAGAAGTCTCTTATGCTCACCAAGGCAGCAGAAATCATTCTACTACGCTGATTTGCTGCTCAAGAAACATTTCTCAATATTATCAGTGTTAAACCGTTATATGCTTTTCATTTTTTCAGAATTTTTTGATGAATAGAAAGTCCAAAAGAACATTTATTTGGAATATAAATATTTTGTAATATTACAAATGTTTACAGTCACTTTTGATCAATTTAATGCATCCTTGTTCAACAGAAGTATTAATTTCTTAAAATAAAAGTTTTACTGACCTCAGGCTTTTGGACAGCACAACTTTTTGGTTTATCTTGTCATGTAAATTAACGTGTTTTTTTTTTCTCTTTGTTTCCGTGAAGCCGCCTCCCATTCGTCATCGCTCCATGCGCATCTTTGTGAACGACGACCGCCATGTGATGGCCAAACACTCCTCCATCTATCCCACCCAGGAGGAGCTGGAGGGGGTGCAGAACATGGTGTCCCACACTGAACGTGCCCTCAAGGCTGTCTCTGATTGGCTGGATGAGCAGGAGAAAGGAAATGCCAATGTGAATGCTTCGGAGTCCGATGGAGATGGCGAGAAAGAGATGTGAGAATATTTAATTGTGACTTTTCTGTTCACTATGTAATTTTACTGTGACTGCGTGATTAGTTATTTGTGTGTGTTAGTATCTCTCATGTAACTGCCCATCATATTTTGTCCTCCAGTGATCTAAAGTCAATGGAGCACCCCACACGTTCCCTGCGTGGAGTCATGCGTGTGGGGCTGGTAGCTAAAGGTCTCCTGCTGAAGGGAGATCTTGACCTAGAGCTTGTGCTGTTGTGCAAAGACAAACCCACCATCACCCTGCTGAAGAAAGTGTCTGAGAACCTTGCTGTGCAGCTTAAGGTATGTCTGTATCTCTAATTTTAAACATTATTTACAAAGGCAGGATAAAAAAACATGCATGAACCTCAGTGATCTGTCCTACAGGTCGTCACAGAAGAAAAATATGACGTTAAACCATGCATCCGCGATGCCACTATTGTCATCAAAAACTCTAAGGAGCCACCGCTGACCCTCACCATTTATCTGACTTCACCTCTCGTGAGGGAGGAGGCTGAGAAGCAGGCTGCCGGAGGTAGGTTTGAAATCACGTGCCTTATGGTTCCTCTAACCACCCCACAACCCCAGAGACAGCAAGATGGGATGATGGACTCAGGCAGGGATATTGTTTATTGGGCCTTCAATGGAGCTTGGGGATATTGTGTTCAGACTAGTCATGTAACACAGATTGTTATGTTAACTGCCACCTGAAGTCTCACAGTTCCATGCAGTGTGATGTTAGAGTGTTGATGGCCCAATATACAGTAACATAAGTGATGGGTAAAGCTTTAAATAAGACCCAGTTCCCTTTGAAGTATTTAAAAGGAGAGTTTACTGAAGGCTTACTGAGAATTAAGAAACAAAATCACAAACCTTGTTGTTTGCATGTGTTCGTATAATGGAGAAGAAATGGAACGGTTTGCATTGCAGCAAAAATGAGAAGCAGATGTATTGTCAAGCTCTGGTTTGTTCGCCAGGACTTGTTGACCGAGCCTTTCTCAAAGAGGCTGGACGGAGGGCAGGAGGGTTATAGATAATGCTAGACATTAGGACACAGTGTAAAGAATAGATTAGACCCAGCCTGATAATATATGGTCACAGTAACTCAGTGGATCTGTAGTTTAGAGAATTGTGGGCAGGCTTTTAAGTTTATTAAAGAGCTTTTTTAGGGCTAGAGTGTTGAATACGGGGAATACCGAAATAAACTGTTTGGGTGAGACAAAACAATTGACCTTTGGCTAAACCCCATTTTTACAATCTTGGCAGCTTTTGCCATTCTCCAGTTTATCAGTATGTTTTTTTTGTTGTTTTTTTTGTTTTTTTGTGTGTGTGTCAATGGAAGTTCTTTCTGTTTGCGTAATTTCAGTAAGTTTTTAGCTGAAATACTGTAAAATGTTGCTACTAAATCTTTAAAGTTGTAAAGTTGCTTTTTCCCTAATCGAAAACCTAAAACATCTGTAATGACTACGTTTGTTCCTACATTAATATTAATAATTGTGTGACATGTTATTTATGTATTGATTATAGAGGAACAATTTTTGGCCATCTTACAGTTGTTTTTAAATGAAGCTTCTCCCTTTGCAGTTTTTAGTCACTTAACTGTAAACTTCTACTCTTTAAAAAAAAAAAAAAAAAAAAAAAAAAGGGAAGCCGCTCATGCTGCTTTGCATTGTCCCAATTTAATCCAATTAATATAACAAAAATTATATGCAATCAAGTTTTACCACACTTTCTGCACGTTTTACTAAAAAATAACGATTAACACACCCGTGGTTGGTTCCAGCAAAACTTGTATAAGTGATGCAACAGCAACCAAGGGTGGCGGGGCTTAGCGAAGGGTCAATCGAGAGCAAACCTGAGGCTGATCTCAAAGCCTAGCTCTATCTGTGACCCCCGGTTAGTGACGCCTGCCTTAGACCATCACAAGCCATCAGTTTTGCTGCAGTGTGGACTCGTTTTGATCATACCTCTTGTGTATCTGACTACTGCTGCCTGTGGTTCAAAATCTGATTCTCTCTGTCAAGCCTTCTAGTTTGTCAATTTTAGGGACGCTGGACCTTTGACCAACTGGACGCTCTCTGTCTCGGAAGGGGCAAGGCAGTGCACCCAGAAAAAAAAAACAAGGGGGCGAGGGGGAGGGGTTCCCCCATGTCAAACACACAAATACACTCGGATCTCACTGATACACATTTTTAGCGATAGAAGAACCTCCCTTTAACATTCACTCACTGTACACCTTCATGCCACAAAATACAGCCACAAGGGCTCTGTTCCTAATCATAGTGTGCTGCCTACCTAGATGCCATCTTGAGGCATCATAGGTAAAGACAGTGGCAGAAAATTGTTGACAAAATCTAAGACGACATCGCATATAGTTAGTCCAGAATGCATTGGGCTTAAATTACATTTGTGCATTTTGGTAGACGCTTTTATCCAGTGCGTTATGAAAGCACTTCCACCCAAATTTTTAACTGGTAAAAAAAAAAAAAAAATTTTTTTTTTTTTTTTGTAAAGCA